GCTGGAACTATAGGCATATGCCGCCACATGCAACCAATGTTTTCTTTTTTCTATTCATGTAGAGACAGGGGTCTCACTGTGTTGCCCAGGCTGGTCTTGAGCTTGTCGGCTCAAGTGATCCTCCCACCTCAGATTCCCAAAGTGCTGAGAGAGCAGGCATGAGCCCCTGCACCTGGCCTATAGTCTGTAATTTGTTGTTAGGACAGTAGCCAGCGTGATTTTTTAAAAACATGAGATTATCTGTCTTCTCTGTTTAAAATCCTCCTTTGTGTCCATTTCGCCTGAGAAAAGGCCAAAGCCCCTATAAAGCAACAAGAAGTAAATAGAGTGACCATATGCCAAGGTTTGCCTGGAACAGAACTGGTTTATACCTGTTGTCCTGAGATCCTTTCTGATTTATCATTTTTTTCTGAGTTTCTTGGTTTTAAATAAAATATTATTAACAGTTTCATTAAAATAGGTTGGGATGGATTTGGTAGACAAATACTTTTTTTTTTTTTTTTGGTAGATATGGGGTTTTATCATGTTGCCCAGGCTGGTCTTGAACTCCTGAGCTCAAGCTGTTCACCCACCTCTGTCTTCCAAAGGGCTGGGATTACAGGCGTGAGCCATGGCACTCAGCCAAATACTTTGTATTTCCATCTTCCTCTGTTGTCTTCTCTCTTATTTGATATGTGTGCATACTAAATAGAGTTCTGACTTTACTACAAAGATAACCAACAAGAATGTATTCTTCTTCTGATTTTCTAGATGCAAAGAAACTAAATCTTTCTCTCAAGCACAGCATACTAGGTGCCTGCTGATAAAATAATTACACTCAGACACCAATGACTAGGGACAGCTGCCTCCTTCCAGCCTTGAAAAGCAGGGGGAAAAGTGTTGGACAATGCTGCCCCTCTTGGTCTCTTGAAATTAGTAGTGATTAGTGGTGGCGTGTGTCATTCCCACAATATTCCCTAAGCTGCCAGTCTGCCTTTTGACTAGTTAGTGGGAAAACTGTGCAATTATATGGTAAATAAATAGAAGCTTATTAGATAGAGCAATCCTGCATAGAGAGAACAGTCTTGCTATAGTGGTTTTATCCTTTATTGATAAATCAATAATTGTATAGTTATTTTATGGTTCGGTAATACTTTTTTATTTTGCAATGAATCCTTTTGTCTGAAACAACTAAAAAAGGAAAAAGGAAGTACATGCTTTATGAAAAGTAAAATACTGAATTTCCATTCCTCCTGATAGTTCATCATATGTAACTTGCACAGAAGATCAGTATTAACTATTCCTGAGGGCCATAAAAATACCACTGGCCACATGAAGATCAAAACACAGAAATCTGCTGATAAAGCCTCAGTGTCTACTTTGCAATAAATTTGTAAAAAATGTCAGCTTTTAAAGGTTTAGCAAGGATGGGCATGGTAATTCACGCTTATAATCCCAGCACTTTGGGAGGCTGAGGTGGGAGGATCACTTGAGACCAGGAGTTTGAGACCAGCCTGGGCAACATGGTAAAACCCATCTCTACAAAAAATACATTTGTGGTAGCACATGCCTGTTCTCGAAATAGCAAAATCCTATCTCTACAAAAATTAGCAAGCCATGATGCTGTGTGCCTATAGTCCCAGCTGCCCAAGTGGCTGAGGTGGGAGGATCCCTTGAGTCTGGGATGTTGAGGCTACAGTGAGCTGTGATCTCACCACTGTACTCCAGTCTGGGTGACAGAGTGAGACCCTGTCACAAAAAAAGGGAGGTGTAGCAAATTGCAATTATTACTACTTATTTTAAGAAGACTGTGTCTAAACATAACAAATTTAACATGTACAGCTGCAGAAAGTACATTTGCATATCATTCTGTGATATGTGACTATTTTAAATTAATTTTTCCCATGATTTTATTCCATTATTTTATTATGAAAATTTAAAAGTATAGCAGAGTTAAAGGAATTTTCCCATGAACTCTTTTTTTTTTTTTTTT